GTAAAAACCAAGACTGCAATATTTAAAAATACCAAAAAATAGTGGCCAGAGAGAGATGGTAGCACACTACACCAGACCAAAGGGAACACCTCTCTCCCCTCAAACAAAAACAGCCGAACCTCCCCAGAAGAAAGCAGAAGTAATCTCCCCACCCTCCTCCACTCCACCCTAAGCTCCATAAACACTAAGGGCTTAAGGCTTAAGCCAACTGCCTGTGGCCCATGTGGTGAGAAACTGGGTTTTTGTTTCAATTCTACCACCTGAAGTGTCGTTACCAGTTATTTTTGTTTTAACTGGGAAGGTGAGGAAGGGGAATCAATAAAGAAATTTTTTGTACCCTGAATACCTATTTAAGTTCCTTGACAGCTGGGAAACAGTCACAGAGAACAAAGGTACAGGGAGCAAATCTACCCACTTTCCTACGTAGACATTCAGTTCAACTGGTAATTGAGGGTTCTTAAATACTCTGCTGTTGCTAAGAAGGGTCACACATCCAATATGCCAAAGACAAGTCCAAAGCCATGAAAACACATTTATCACCTCAACACTTCTTGAAAGAGGCTGCCAGAAATCAATGCTAAACCTATCAGTTTCATCTACAAAGCATTTGAATAGGAATACTAACTTCCATATTACAACTCCTGAACGACTGACAGAGGACATCTGTCATATGCAAGCAAGATAACATAGGACACAAGAAGGGAATAAACTAAGGTCAAAAACACACCAAGTAAGAAATTCAATACAACTGGAAGACATACCCTCAGGCACCAACATTTCTCCATTGGACACCTGTTCCTTCGTGCCCTCAGATGCCCCAAGCCCAGGGTAAAGGCTGAACTTAAAAAAAAAAACATACTTAAAAGGTCATGCAAACTTGGTGGATCTGAACTAAACTACAAAGCTTAGCCCACTTAAAACATCATGCTGATTGTCAAAACCAAATTAAATCCTTATATATAGTTATCCTGGTACAGAGGTAAAGCTCTTTATAGTGGCAGTAGCCTCCAACCCAAATACATTCACTGGTTAATAGGGATGTAATGACACTAAACATCATTGTGCTGCCATCTACCTTACCAGAAAATTGTTATTCATTTGCAAAAAAAAAAAAAAAAAAAATTACAACTTGTAAATGTTGTAAAACCACAGATATATCAAGCGAATACCCTTTACCCAAACTTCAATGGAAACACCTATTCAATGCCGTCTTCATACTAAACTTTGGGATAGTTCAGAGTTCGGGAAGGATTTTGATTTTCAGAAGTCTCCAAAAAAGTTAGCATATTAATAATATGCAGATTTTATAGCTCCCTCCTTCAGAGTACTCCTTCCTCTCCTTTTCATTGTCCTAGAATCTGATACTCAATTGAGGACCCCTCCATTCCTGGTAGTGAAGGGAACAAGAACTAATGAAACAGGTGTTGAGGAACATATCAGTATGTTCCCTGGGTGAGAGAAGGGAGCAGTGGTGACCTAAGACACTGATGTGGTATCACGAGACTAGCTAGACTAAGCTTTAAGAAAGCTGCTCCGTTCTAGAGCGATGCCAAGAGACAGTGACACAAGACCAAGACAGGATGAGATGTGGCTAAAGCTCCAGGAGAGAGAATTAACTGCTTTAAAGATTTTTCTTGACCCAGAGACGTCTCTGAACTAGAAGCTGTCTAAAGTTCTACGGTCATTAGGTCCTGGCATAAAAGCAGGTGCAGGGACCCAGTAAGCTGATTGTTAAAGCTCTCCACAGGGACAACGGCTGTATTTAGCATTTCCTCCTTAGGCCGTAAATCAAACACCAAGCTTATCCACAACTACTACTTGAAGTATTTCACCCTTGGTTGCCTCAGCAGTGGCAGCATGCTCTTCGCTAGACCTGAAGAGGACAATAGAGGACAGGACAGATTTTGACTTGATAAAAAATTTACTGTGGTACACTGGGAAGACAGTCAGATTTGGAGCATCTGGATTTTTCCTTTGAAGTAACTTCAGTGTCTTTAACAAAGCACACAAGGATCTACTCAGCTGATAGAATTAGCCCTCTACCCCCAGGGCCTGACCCTGTCCCTGGGCTAACTTTGTTTTACTGAACTTACATAAGCGCCCTGCTGCCTGCCCCGCCCCCTGCAGTTCCCCAGCTGTTTCCTTTGGTTTTTCTAGCTTCCTCCCCCTCACATCTCCCTTTACTTTCTCTCCTCTTTGATTCAGCAGTGAATGCTTAAAAAGCAGATGGCAAGTAGCCTTTCCAAGCCAGTGAAAATGCTTCCTGAGCATCAGGTATAAAGCAATCCCAGGAACAGACATTATGGGAGTTGGGATACATACTATTACTGCTTTTTGCCTGAGGAAATCCCCATATATATTCTATACGCAAGGTTATTACGCTGAGGCAGCTACTCTGATCACCTAAGCAAAGCATATGAAGGATCCAAGTTGGTACTATCAGTCTGCAATTAGCCCTCTCACGAGAGATGAGCTGAGAAAATTGAAAGGGAAGCTTGACTACTAAAGGTAGGTTTGGGATTTACTCCACAGTGATCTTAAAACCAAAATTCTAGGATGGAGACTCACCTGGGAAAAAAACAGGGAGAGAAAGGGAGGGAAAAGGGCACAAGTCCAACAGCTCCAATCAATGTTTACTCTAATTTACCTAATCTCTCCTGGTGGTTGTAAGTGCCACCTGGTAAACACCTGGTTGTAGAGATACAGCACGGGTGATATCTAGAGTATCAGCTCAGATAAAGCCCCAAATTCAGGCCGTGCTAATTACAGCCTAGAATGACATAAGATTTTCAAAGACCAGCCAGGACATCTCAAAGACCAATTTCCCAGTTCATAATGGACTAAAATCAGCTTGAAGACCAAAGACCGTCTCAATGTGGACTCTCTCCTTAGAAAAACAGCTCATGTGTATAACTATCCTGTTACTATTACAGAGGCTTTGCTAGTTCAGTAAACAAGTATTTGTTCAGCATCTATTGAAAGCCAGGAATTGTATTAGTCACTGGAACTACTTTTAAGAATCTCCTCCAGTAATCGAAATTTGAAAAATCACATACACGTTATATATTTACACAAAGTGCTTAAAGAGACTGGCAAGGACACGCATTTTTAAAGGGATTGTCTTTTGAATACTAAATCTGAGACTTCATTGGTTCTCATGGTTTGCTCTGACACCAAAAATTGTCATCTAGGGTTATGGAGTATCAGAACCGACGCTCAGGAGACTGTATGCTCAGGGCCAAGTATAATGCACTTTTACTGTACATTAGAATGTGGGAAGTTGCCATGCACTGGCTTTTTAAAACCCATGTAACCTACAGCGGTAAAGCAATCAGGTTTTGTGTTGTGGATCTATTTTACTAATACAAAGTTGTTTCAGTGTACTCAGTTACCAAAACAAATGCAAATGTTTGTAGACATTTACCCATTCACATTCTTCTGTGCTACATTTCTTTGTGGCACTGCTGCCTAGTTAGGAGTGGCTAGCCAAGCCCTGGCCACTGCAAGCCCTGCTGTCCTTCCGTGGAGCCACCCTGTCGTCCTTCTGTAGGGGTCAAAAGAAAGGGCTTCTTTGATGCTGGCTGTGCACTGCACACTGGAAAGCCAGGGGCCTAAACACCTCACTTCCTTGCTGCTGGGTTTTGGACCATGGCCACTGAATAGATTAACTCCTGCTTTGGATTGCCCCCAGTAATCAGGGTATGCATATGAATCAAAGATGGCGCGATGGGACACCCTAGTGGCATCAGTTGGATATTACAAGCTATGTCAGAGACAGCCTCCGGCTACGGTCCCCACTAGAAAAGTCAGGCTGGCTTAAAGACAGCAACGTAAAATAAACAGAAACTTGTCACCAGGAGGCAGAAGTCAAGTACTGGGCCACTCTAACATTTCTGAGCCTACTTCCTCAAACTGCAAATTGAGGCTAATACTACTTGAGGGTTAAAATGAATCAAAAGTACTTCATAAAATATCTGCTACTTGCAGTAAAAATGTGTCTTACGTCCTTAGATTTTCCCCTGGACATTTACCATTCAAAAAAAGGTAGTGAAGTCACTACTTTGGGAATAAGCCCAATGTAACTGGAGGACCACAGTATGTATCAGATCTAAGCTATGGGGTACACCTGCCTAGGATTTTGTGACTCACTCAAAAATTTATTAAGTGTACTAGCATACTGGGCACCTTGAAAGTGTCCAAGTTATTCAGTCCTTGGCTCTGAGTTTACCATGTATCTGAGGGAAATAAAACGTGTACATGAAACAAAACAGCTTAAGGCAACATTAAGTGCATGAATGTCATCATATACATATGCTAAAGAAATCTAAACCAATACAGTGCTATTAATCCAAGAACGCTTAAGTCTTTAGTTGATCACGAAGGGGTGGAACAATTTTTAATGGCCAAACAAGCGGGGATGTGTGTAGGATTTGGGTGTGTTGTATGTGTTCAATGTTTGCTGAGTCTCTTGGCTTTGAGAATTGCCTAGGCCAGTTCCTCCTCTATAAACATAAAAACCAAGGTCAGGAGCCTGGGATGTTAAGACTTTCCCAACCCAAGAAAATGATACACCATTTTTCTTCACTCTATATAAATCTGTATCTGAATCCTTTTATGGGATAATAAAGAACCAGAATGATTAAATCCCACTGATAAGTCTGCAGAAATCCTGAGACAGGATCACTAAATTCAGAAATGATTTAAGACTTTTTCTGTAATAATCAAGCTTAAGAATTATGGAAAACAGGAGACCCAGGAGGAAGCATCGAGAGAGAACTGTTCTACTTTTAGGAGACAATGGCATCAATTCTTATCTACACTGAGAAGCATATACAGCTTGCACACTTTTTGACTTTGCAAGGCTGATTTTTGAGGAAGCATATACTTTTCCAATTATATTAGGCTTAGGCTAGCATTTCAACTAATTTGCATTTCCTTGTTAAGAAATTATCTAATGCAATGTTAGAATTAAAATTACTTTCTCCAATAATCCACCCGGTTAACCAATAGTTTCTGAAATGGGCTTCCATATAGTGCTTTGCTTTTAATAAGTACTACGCTCTTTCCATCTCATTCAATCAACATTTATTAAACTGTCAGCATTGCATTTGGCTCATTGGGAAATACAAGTATTACAAAATTTTCATAGGGTATGAAAAATTAACACAAAACATTCTATAATAAATTTTGAGGAGACTAAATGCATCACAAAGACAGCTATTACTTAGGTTTAGCAGCTTGTTTTTTATAGTTACAGAAATGAAGTTTAACTTGAGGACGATCAGGATTTAAAGCTGCAGGGTGACTGCTAAAGTGGAGTAAGAAGTCAGAAAACACAAGCAAATACACATCAGCAAAAACAAGCACGGTCAGTATTTACCAGATCAACCAGAGCAGGTAAGATGTGATTGAGAACTTTTGATTTGTATTAGGTAAAGTGACATGTTTTAGGAAGTTCAGACTTGATGACCAGGATGGAGATTGGAGTCCGTGAAACAAGCTAAAACATTTTTGTAATGAATTTTGGGTGCACAAATAAGGATGCTGGCATGGTAAATGGAGATGGAGGACAAATCCAAACAGAATTTTAAGGAACCGTTTGACGAAACACATCTCTGTAGTCTAGCTTAAGTCATAGATATAACGGCTCTGTGGCTAAGAATCGGTTATATTAAAAGTCAAAGAATTTGACTATCACCCAAGGACAAAGGAGCCATTTTTAGTTTTCTTTGTTGTAGTGTGCTTGATGTACTGCTAATCATTTTACAGTTCTAATCTTAAGATGTGGTTGTCACTCTTGGTTTATTTTGTAACTAAATTTTTTTTAACAAAAATTCTCCAAGAAGAATTAGAAACACTCCGGGTCACAAAACAAAATTTTAATGTTAAATACAAATAGTTACCTTCTGCTGCACAGTAATTATAAACTGAGAGGGATTTAGCCCCAACTTAGAAGAAATTGAGACTTATATTTGTTATTTATTCAAGATATTCAGAAAGCAGAATTCAATTTTCTATGTTTCTCTTCCAAAGCAATTGAGTTGAATGTCTACTCAGTGCAAAAGCACTGTGCTACATACCTGGGAGGAAAGGGTAAGAGAGGTTATGACCTACTAGAAAACATATGAACTTACTGATATCAAGGCAGAATGACTTAAGTTTTAAGATACAGTATTAATTCTATACGGCAACATGAAGAAAGGACCAAGAGTGCCTCTCCAATTAAGTATTTATCATGTCCCAGGTGCTGTCTTGGTTCCTTAGAAAATAAAAATTCATGAACCAAGAAAGTTGAGGTAGATACATGGAGTGAGCAAACCAGGTGACATATGCTATACTAGAGGCATGTACCCAGAGTCTGTGTCAACACACAAGGGATTGCTTCTGTTTGATGGGTTGCCAGTTCTCTGAGGTGGTTAAGTACTGCCCAAGGTAAATTACACTTCTCTAAATGAAAAGATGGTAGACACTGGAGGACAAAAACAGGGTCAAATGCAAGAAATCCTGGAAAATGCCAAATCCTGGGGTCAGGTTACTTAGAGCTGAATCTGCCTGAGGAATGTGTCCTCCGGACAATGAGGTTTCCAATAATTTTAGTGGTAATGATAAATTCTTCACTTTACAAAGTTAATTCTAGCAACAAGTGGCTGGTGCAGTTGGACTTGGGGTGAGGATGCCAATGGACTTCTGGCTGACAAGTCAGTTTGACTTTCATTGACCACCGAGATGTTCTATCTCAAATTCCTAGGCATGCCACTCTAAAGGTGAGATTCAGCCCACGACAAGTGCCATTTAAAGGGTGTAGGTTATCTTTTGTTTGATGTAGCAGTCCATTTCTAAGTATTATGCCTTAATATCTACAGCAATGTGAATGTTTATTCCAAACTTAAAATACATGAAAGACTCCCCTGATATCCAGCACCCTATATAGGGTACGATTCATCCATGCCTTTTGACCCTTTAACATGCAAGTTTAGCCCTGACTGGTGCGTGGATTGAGTGCTGGCCTGCAAACCAAAGGTCGCCAGTTGGATTCCCTGCCAGGGCACATGCCTGGGTTGTAGGCCAGATCCTCAGTAGGGGGTGTGAGAGGCAACCACACATTGATGTTTCTCTCTCTTTCTCCTTCCCTTCTCTCTAAAAAGTAAAATCTTAAAAAAAAAAAAAGTAAATCCAAGTTTAGCTTTTTTTACAGCATTGTGGATTTTCTTTTGTACATTTTTAGACTGAGTGCTTGCTCACAAGCTAAATTAAGGAGACATCAGAATTACTATTAGGAATAAGGAGGCACACTCAATCTAGTGTGGCTCCAGTACTCAATCCAATTTGTAGGAAGGCTCCTAGTCAGCAACCACCTTCTGCAGTCTCTGTGTAAAATGTTCAGCAGTCAGAATAATCTCTACCGTGTAACCTTATTTCTCTCCTGGGAAAATACCTTTATTTGTCCTCTTCTGTGTATTATTCTTCAAAGCAGAAGTTTCTAACGTTAACAGTTTAAGGCAAGTGCACCATACTGGTTTTCTTGACTCGATCAAGTGGGCCCAAGAAACTTCAATACAGTATTCTTAGCGATAACTTAAATCAGGAGGCAAAGTTGAAGTTTGTGTCCTTTACATTTGGGCAATGTAAAGTTGGGGGAGGGAAATGATATGAACAACAAATGCTCACAGTACTAACCCCTCAATAATTTTCAGCTTAAAATAAAACGTCACTAAGGAAACACATAAAATGTGTACTGACTTTTTAATCACAAGATACTCCATGCCTACTTAAGCAAAGCCTAGAAAATAGAATATTAAAGGCCAACTTGACAAGCAGGTTCTTAAAGACACATTAAAAATTACAAACCTTAGTAATGCTGAGATTAAGATCACTCCAGAAACTGTTTCACACCATAAAAACTAAAGGTTTCTAAAAGTATATTCCTTTTTCCGTATATGGTCAATTTCATGCCAAGACTTTTTTTTGCAGCACATCTACTCCGGCACCCAATTCTTACACTCCTGGCCTTACCATTCCATACCTCAAGGTGTACAAGGCTGCAGAAACAGGCAGATCCACATCTTCAGTATTTTCTCCCAAGATCTAGAAATACTTTTCTGGTTTATATAAGCTCAGTACTCAAGTTAAGCTCTATTCAAAACCTAGAAGGATCCACAAGTTGAAAAGACATTTTGCCCAACAGATGAGAAGACAGAGGTAAAGTTACAGCAAGAAAATTCACCAATCCCCACAACTCCCCCTGCCCCAACTTTGGAGCTGTTATACAGGTTTAGATAGTTGGCTCCCACCTTGCAGTATAGTCCCTTTACAGTAGGGATTTCCTGGTTGATTTTTGCCTCATAGCTCCCTCTAGTGGCTTAGTGATTTCCCCTAGCATTTACCTAAATAGGAAAGTGAAATACTGTTTTTAAAAAATAATTTTAATACATTTGGCATCCCTGTAAATCTGAGGTTTTGTTCAAGTCAATCAATGTCCACTATCTTCACATTGATAGTTCTATCAATAACTGATAGACAACACTCCTAAGTTGCATGGTTACAGGAGTTAAGATGCTTTTTAAAAGTGTTGTTTCATTTATGTTCCATATCTACTTAAATGGTAACCTAAGCAAAGGCACGACTGACTTCTCTCTCCCTGATAACCTGTTATTTCTCAAAATAATTTCTATGACAAAGACTATTTTTGATATATTACAAAAGTATCAAGTGATTTTTATAACTTAAAAAAAATTCCTTTCCTTAATTACAACAAATCATTTTCAGAGTTGTCTGGCATAGCTTTTAAAGTCAGGAAGAACCATCCCTAAAGTTCTCAATCACAAGAGCAAGTGCTGATTTAAGTATTTGCTAACTTCTTAGGCTATATCTAAAGCAAGTTTTTGCCAAGATTACTTTGTTCTATAGACAAAATTAACATGTTTCCTTATAATCTTTTTACTTCATGCCAGTCCCAGTTTTCCTTCAGATCAGAATAAATGTTCCCATAAAGTATGGGGGTGGGGGAGGGAAGTACCCTAAAAGAATGCAGTATTACACTGTAATGCTAGCATGGCAAAATATTTCCTTCAGTGGAGTACAAATGTTTTGAGTCCACTACAGCAGTAGAATATGAAGAAATGTGAGTTATACCCTTTTTATTTTTACCTTGTGGCTGTTTCAGCCTAAAAAAGATGGGGAACTTGCACCTCAATTATCGTATTTTGCCATGTATAATGAACTTTTTGGCCCAAATATTTGATGGAAATATAAGGGTGTGCATTATACATGGGTACTAATTCTGTACCCATGTTGTTTAATTTATGCTTATGCATTAAAAGTGTAACTAGAAAGCAGTCATGGTATCTGTATGCAAAACAATACCCTGCAATACAATAATCAGTTGTTTCTACAAGTAAAAAAAAAACTGAACCAAGAAGTTTTTTTCCCAGAAAGTTTGGGCCAAAAACATGGGTGCACATTATACGTGGCAAAATACAGGTAATAAAGGCTCCACAGTAACAAATATTTTGCTCCACATCTGAAGTTACACAAGCTTTAGCCCCACATACTCTATTATACATAGTTTACAATTCCTCTTCCAAACTCTTGGGGACAAATGTATTTGAAATTCAGACCTGTTTACCCTTTACAAAGGTATGGTATAGAGACCCTATATAAAATATAATACCCTCAGTAAAGCCTGTGGCTACTGTATAATGAAATACATCAGTATTTCTGCATGACCAGTAGTCAAAAGTACAAAACAAGGTATCACGTATCAGGTTTTACATTAGTCCAATGTCTTTGTTTTCAGTATTTTTTGGGTAAGAGATTGGGAACCCAATTTCTGCCTTTGCACTGTTCATACTATAATAGAAATTCATTAAACCAAGGGATAGTTGTTACAAAAGAACCTGTCTTGTTTCTCTTTTTAATTATTATTTCTGGTAAATACATACATAAAACATTTCATACAACTTCTTATACAACGCAAAAAGGCACATATAAATTCACCTTCATAAAAACTTGAGAAAACACCAGCCCTAATGAGCAAGATGTTTCAAAAACAATTTGAAATTCTAGAATCATATTGTACTTAAGCACAGTGAGTGGATATATGCACTCTAAATTTATCATTAAAATATAAAACTTAGGAAAACGTTTTAAATGAGGGAAATCTGTTCATATTTCAAACATTAATAAATTAAACATTAACTTAAAAATTCAGATCCCAAACAACAGGAATCAAAAAATGGTTTTCTTACCTTTTGTTTCCAGGATGTGGACTGAACAGCAAGATGGGTTGTTCAATCTGATGTTATGAAAAATAGGTGCTTCTTAGACTTAAGCTTTTCCTTGATTAGAAAATAACAAATTATAGGCTCCCTACAATACTCTAAGGGGAAACAAATGAGGAGGAAAGGGGTAAAATTCAAGCCATTTTTAGTTCTAAAAGGGTGGCTTTCTTCTAACAGCTGCCATTTTGGGTAGAAGTTTAAGGGCCATCTCTTTAAGGCTGGAAAAATGTCTGCATATCCCCTCACAGCTTTTAGCTGCTTGGTATTAACTGCAAAATCTGTGCCCCTCCCTCTACCTTTTGCAATCACACATTAAGCCCTAATTTCCAAACACCTGACATACCAGATGAAAAATTCTGTCTCATCTCAATCTGGGGTTGAAGCTACTCAAACTTTTAGCAGAGCTCATCTTTCAACTTAGCTCCAATGTACTCAACCTTGAGTGCAGGAAATTTCATTTTGGTTTTGTTAACAAAACATTCAATGAACACAAATGAACCCAGGCTTACTTAAATTTACCCCACATTTATGTTTGCAGAATTAAGTATCATTTAAAAATATTCTACACATGGAACACAACTTGTCTATGACCATGCCACCCTGAAAACGCCTGATCTCATAGGCTATGGAAGATCAGGCTGGATTAATACCTGAATGTGACACATAATAGCTTTAATAAATCTTTCTGCTTCTTGAACCTATTCTGAATTTACATTACTCCCTTAATCTATACCAATTGTTTTAAATGCTTTTAAGTGTAATCCTAGTTTTTAATGTTTATTCTTCTTCCTCCTGACATTCCACAAGCTTTATTTACATGTACTGATTAGGTGACCATCTCAGGTGATCATATGCAAATCTCAGGGCCAGTTTCCTCCACTACAAAGTTTTAAGTTTTTCATAGGTTTGAAATTATGACACCTGCACAACTGTCTTAAATTCAGCTTCCAATTTCATTAGCACCCAAGGGAAATGTTAAGATTTAGTTGGGTGCAGAAAGAGTGATTTGATGGTTGTGACTAGCTATCAGGAAATGAGACTATTAGAGATTTTAGGTTAAAATCCTCTCCAATTCAGGGAAACCAAGAGAATTTAAAACCAAGGACTGTCAAGTAAGAAGATACAAAAACTAGTAGACCACAAGATATAATCACTGTTTTGGTATGTTCTGGATACCGAATAACAACATTATAATTGAGAAAAGCTTACAAGGCAAAATTTTAAAGAATGCCTAGCTTTTTATTAGTAACAATACACTCAAATAAGCAGTTGTTCTTCTAGTGTTCTAGTCACATTTCAAAAATAAAAGTGTAAATTGTGTTGAAAACTCTGATCTGTGCTGAATTTAAACATTTAATACTTAGCAATTTTTGAGATGAGGTGCACTGACAATCTCAAAGTCCATCTCCAAGTTAACGTTTACCAGTCATCATTAAATTTTGCATAAAAGGCTCTTATCTAGGTAGGTGATCACCAAAAATAAGCAGCATCTGTAAGTTTTAAGAACTTTTTAAAATCAAAGCTTATCTTTCAGAGTCTAAGGTCACCATTCATTTACCGTATTACATACAAAATTGCCTTTCTCACCTTTTATCTTTCCCTGGTTTTACAAGAATTAGTAGTTAATAAAGACCATTAGAGATCACCTTTAAAGAACCTTTAATTTACTAACACACAAATGCAAGACTCAGAATCTTATCAATTTAAAGTATTAACTGATAGCCACCCAGTTAAAATCTTACAAGAGGAAAAAGGACAACCATGCAGTTTTTTAAAAAATGTTTATTTCTCAAAGAAAAACGGCAACAGCCAATTGGAAACCTACTTATTCTTCAACACCAATTTTGTTTTCTTTAAATTTAGAAATGACTTACTGATTTACTATTTTAAACAAACCCCCCCTTTCCCCTTTAAATGTTTACCATCTACTCGTGCTGAATCCTTCCAAGGAGATTGCTCCAGCGTTTATCTCCAGGTCCTCGCTTTGCTCCTTTTACCAAAAATGCAAAACACAATTCCATCGTGCATCTTAAGGGCTCCAATCGTCAAAAATAGAGAAAAAAAAAATCTTTGGAATAGCCAATTAAGTTGAATAAAAAAAAAAAAAAAATCCACACGAATGCGGTTTGGTTGGGGCAGGAATCCACTCCTATGTTCCTGGTAATCTGATCCCGCTCCATGAATCCTTGTAATTGATCCTCCCTATCCTATCCACATTATGATTTGAATCCAATGATCCAGCTCCAAGGATTGGGATCCAGTGAGCCCTCTCCAATCCAAACCTTTATAACCAGCAAAACCAAAAAAGAGGAGGCAAAATGTTAGATACTGTAATCAAAAAAGGTTTCTGGGGAATGATGAGTTATGTCTGTCATCAGTTTAACAGATGTACATCAATAACTATCAAATTCCCCAAAACAAGTTTCTGAATGGTGTTCAGATAAATTTTAGAAACTTAATCATCAGAGACTAATTGGAAGAAGCATTTTATATTTACAGTTCAACTGATAATGCCAACACTTGTTACTGTACAGCGTATTACAGGTTTTGTGGTCGCAAAAATTATGTAGTTGAAGTTTACTGGTATTGTTACCGACCCTAAGCCTAAACTAAATCTAATGCTCCCATTTGCAATTTAATTTGTAAATTAAGGTATTTTAAACATGAGTCAATTATGAATATTAGTTTAAAGGGGAAGGCGAGACTTAGAAGTATTCCCATCTAGATTATCTACACCAATACGTTGAAATTCTATAATTTGCTTTCATTTTGTCTTAAAAAAATGAAATAGCAACGCTATATCAGTCACACAGAGGACATGCAGATTTAGCAGTATTGATATTATACTCTATCTGGTTGGAATTAAAGACACCCTGTACCCACATGTACACCAACAGCAGGTCACACATTAACAGTTGTAACTAAGCACTGTGACAAATTAGCCAGCTCTTCCCACATTAGTCCCTATTAAAACAAAAGAGGGGGGGAAGGGAGCAAAATAAATTGTTACAAAATGGGCGCTGTAATTTTGCCACAATTGCCAAGGTTTAAAGAGCAAAGCAATTGTAGCTAAGGTAACTGCATAAGATGTTTGCAAGTGTTTTAAGATAGGTGCATATAATAATCTTTAACCCTTGCTTTTTTAGTATAAGGTCAATACTGCCAATTTCATCTGTGACAATAGCACTTGGAGTCATACCATTGCCTCCATTATTGATCTGATCCTCCTCAATCCTCCTTTTGACAATCCTAAAATGATTGAAATGTGCTCCACAATCCTTAATCCAAAGCATTCTTAATCCATCTCTTCAGATATGTCTACAGAAAGACACATGAAAAGCAAGATAAACATAAGAACTTCCCCAGGTAAGATAGCCACAAACACCCCCAACATCCCAGTTCACACAAACCAGAGCAGAATAGACATTTACACAATATCACAGTCTGAAGAGCATGGAGAATTAACTAAATTTAAACAATCCTGTCTATGACATCACTTAAAATACAATTTACCAGACATGAGGGGAATGTAGATGTTAGGAGCAAGGGGATATTACACAAGAATGCAATTCAACACTTTAGCCCATTCTGAACAAAACAGTTTGAATTAAAAAATGAAAAGATTGTACTGAGTAAAGGAAAACTGTATACAACATGGGTTCTACAAAAAGTGTCACCAATCATCTTATGTACGAGAGCGAGATCTGCTATGACGGGGAGAATAGCGTGGTGATCCTCTGCTTCTCCTTGGGGAGTAACTGCGACTCCTGCTGTTGCTTCTGCTACGGCTTCTGCTACGACTACGGCTTCGAGATCGAGATCTTCCATAACTTGGACTTCTGGGCCCATCAACTTTAACCCGGATGTAGGCAGTTTCTCCCTATTGAATAGACAGAACTTTCGATTGAAACATCTAAGCTTTTACCTGTCTTCAGGCATGCTGAATGAGTACAATGTAGCTAAAAACCAGAAATCTGGCACTTTACTTGGACACGCTTGCCTGAATCTTACCTGCAAATTCCATTGTTAAGACCACTGTATCCAATTCTGGCCAAAGAAAAGAATAAGTGTATAACCTACCTCATGAGATCTAAACTTAGTGTTATCCAGTTTTCGAACTGCATAGGTCATATCTTCTTTCCGTACAAACTCCACGACACCAGTGCCATCTCGGTAAACATCAGCATAACATACATCACCTGCTTCACGCATGTGATCCTTCAAATCCTGCCAGCTTCCACTTGGAGGCAGTCCTGAAAAAGTGATTTTTTTCAATACCAATCACCCTAAATTTCATATTAAACTTAACATTTTCACTAGAACAAAGACTACTTAAAATTAATGATTATACTTAAGATCCTAGGTGAAGAGCTAAAATCTGGAATCTGGAGTCCAAAATTATTTCTAAATTAAGGCTCTAAATATTCAAGGTACTGCAGCATAATTTGGTAAATCTCTATTACAGTAATAATCCCAGTTTACTAAATTTACCCAAAAAAACTAAAGTAATTTAAGATCTAGGATAAAAATTTGTCAACCTGGTAACACAAAGACAATTTTAGATGGGTTTCTGTCCCTTTTTTCCTCATCAACTCACGTTAACTGTAAACTCACCAGAGACAACCACTCTGTTTTCAGATCGCCTGGAAGGGGGGCCATAGCGGCCTCGGGGAGCTCCGCCACCTCCACCCCCGCCGCCGCCTCGGCCTGTACCACGGCCGCTTCGAGGAAACTCCACCCGCAGACGGTATCCATCGTAATCATAGCCGTCGCGACCGTACACCGCGTCTTCCGCATCTCTGCATGATCACAGAAAGCAAAATGACTAAGAAAAAGGACTCGGAGGGGTGGCTAACGCAGCCGGGACCCAGCAGCCCCCCGCACATGCGCACCCAGTCTGGAAGAGCCCACATGCGCTGCATAATAGGAATGGCCCCTCCCCCACTCAGAAACACGCCAGGCTCGCGACCACTACACCAGCCCTCAACGCACGTTCCCCGCTCCGAGCCTGAGTCGGCTCTGGGAGGTCCACGGCGGACCAGCCACAATAAAAGCCGAACCGACTCAGATCCTACTCGACTCCTGGAGGGGCGATATCATCTCGTTCCTTACCTAAGAGCCCACCTCCCCATTCTCTACTATTAAGGCCTTGGAGCTTTCCCCAACGATTCAAACCGATTTCCTCAAGGCCACAAGCCCCGAGCCGCCTCACCGCGGGTCCTCGAACTCAACGAAGGCGAAGGGCGGTCCTCCGCGGCGATTCTTGAGATCGATGTCGCGGATAGCACCGTATTTGTAGAACACGTCCTCAATGTCCTTGGTTCGGATATCTGGAGGTAAGTTACCCACGTAGATGCGACAATCGTTGTTCCCTGCCGGGCCACGAATCACGCCACCTCCCGACATGGCGACGAGGAAAAGCGCGGACTCTAGAACAGGCCTTCCCACCAAGCCTAGCGCAAGGGAGAGCGAACCGGCAGCGACACCACGTCTCCCGCGGCCTCTCCAAAATGGCGCCTTTATCAGCTTGGCGCACGGATATGGGGGGAGGGAAAAAGAGAAGCGGAAGGAAGCAGCTATTCGACCTCAGTACGCACGCGCAAGAGCTTAACGGGCTCGCGAAAGTAAGCTCACGTAGCGCGACGTCACCCTCCGCGCGAAAGGAAAAAAGTTCCCTGCGTTCTCGATGTACGAGTGGTTACCTCCTGGAGTGACCAGCCGTTGGTACAAAAATACAGAGCCCTCGTTCAAAAGGTTGTTAATGGCTGTCGAGTCTTAAGAGAGAGTTTCCTCAGAAATGAGTCTTTTAAAGCATCTAGGAGTCTTGAAAGGAATTGGTGAAACCTACCCTACAGCCTGTCCCACCATGCTCCGCGGCATTAACGGCCTTTGGCGGGAAAAGACTCCCGGGGGCGGAGTCAAGAGGGGGAGGTACGTGGGGGTTGTTCCGGAAACCTGGGCTTCCCCGGAGAGTGCGCTTAGCCTAGGGAGTACGTTGCCCTTGATTCCACCGGAGGGCCAAGCCGTAGGTTTGTTTTCCCAACCTCTAACGCGAACTAGCGGTGGGTTGCTTAGACAAGTGTCTAAAGGAACTAGTTTAAATTTCGTAGGGAGTGTCCTCCACTGAGTTTTTTTCACCATTGGTTCAGAATTTAACTTTGTATAGTCCAATTCACCACTCCTGCTAATTGGCGGTAATTCATGCCCTGATCAGTCACTGATGGTACCTGCCAGCCAAGACCCAGACTCTGCTTCTTTCGTGTTTAATCGCGTATCATTAGGCCTAACAGAGAGGCGAGATCCAGTGAATTGTGCCTGTTATTTCTCCAACCCCTTTCAAAGAATGAGAAAAAAATGTGTGTGTGTGTATTTATAGAATCCTGAAGTTCGTTCCTTTTATAAAACTCATTACCGGACCTTTCAGGTATTATAAATAAGCAAAATGGGTATGTGAGAATCATGAGCACTGGAGACCACAGTTGCTGCTCAAGACTGATCCTGCTTGCAAATGCTGTCCCAGAGAGATAAGAACTTGTTACATTTTTCTCAGTCATCAAAAATCTGAATTTTTATATGAAATGTTGGGATTTTAAAATATTAGTAATGAATTTAAATTTTTTCAGTAATACCTTGCAGTAATAACGCTAAAACATATCTGCAACGTGACTTTAAGGATGATTTTCTTTTTTTTTTTCCTGCCTCAGGTTTATTTGTACAAATAGCACAGCACAGGAGGACACCAGTTCCCTGCAGACAGCAGCCCAAGGGTCACACCCGCCCTTCATCCCCACCAGCAGATAGAGGCTTCTACTGTGGAGCCTTCCTGGAAGCCTGAGCCTCATAGGGACCCTGAGCTGGAGCCTTTGCATCCACAGCTGCAGCCTGGGGCTTGGTTTGAGACTTAGCTTGGATTTTGACCTGCAAAGCCTGAGACCCTTGGTGGTGTAGCCAGGAGCTTGGGCTGACAAGTCTACAGAGCTTGCAGCTACTGCCCTTTGGGACCTTGGTTTTGACCTCCTTGGGCTTTACCAGGGCCTTGATACCAAGGGCCTTGATAGCCTTGGCATTGTTGGCCTGCATTTTCTTCAGGCGCTTGTTGTGCTTCTTGGAGAAGTACATGTTCCTCAGGACCTTGGGGTCCATCCCCTTAAGAGAGTCATATCTTTGTGATCGAGTTTTTTTGGTGCTGTTTCTGTGCCATTTTCGGGGCAAGTTGTATGTGGTGTGATTCTTGGACTTGGCACTGAAGTCTGCACCAAAGCCCATGGCTCCCAGAGCACCTGGGACTGGAAGAAGGAAAGCAAGGATGATTTCTTTCATATTATAAATTTATTTACAACAATCCCTCTGGAGATGTGAGGCAGCTTGTAGAGATACCACAAAACATTATTAAAACTGGATGGAGAAATCAGGGGGAGTGGGAAAATAAGAAAAGATTAAGATGAAGTCACGGATAAGGTTTGTACACAAAATGTCTGCAGTAATTGTCTGTTGAGTTCCTAGAGATGGACTCCAAATTTGACTCTGGTTATCCCAGAAGTGTCACTAAAGGAAGACAATACAAGTATATTCAAAATCCAAAAAGATTGTTTAGGAGAAGGGTGTTATTCCTTAGTTCTAAAAGTTGATTGTACTTTAAAGTGTTTGGTAGTCCTTGAACACTCTGTGATGGTTTCCAAAATTATGTACATGTGTTTTTTTTTGCAAAGAGGATTTGAAATTTTAATCAGGTTCTTAGAGGAGCCTGTAGATCCTAAAAGGGAAGAGAACCTCTGAAAATTTTAAAGGGAAGGACAGATTATCTATCCTTTGACTATCCTTCAATGATGTTTTTTGTAACTGAGCTTTTAAAAAGAAAATGTTTATTTATTTTTTTTTTATAGAGAGAGGGGAGGGGAAGGTGAAAGAGAGAGAAACATCAATCATTTGTCTCTTGCATGCCCCCAACCAGGCATGTGCCCTGACCAGGTCCCATGGGACCTGGCCCACAACCCAGGCATGTGCCTGACCAAAAATCGAACCAGCAACCTTTTGGTTTGTGGGACAATGCCCAACTCATTAAGCCACACCAGTCAGGGCGAAGCAAAGCTTTTAATGAAAAAGATAAGAACTTGATAATTTTTAAAGTGAGAATCTGACCAAAAAGAACACTATTTTGACAAATATATTCAGTTTCTAGCATTGTCCTATTCACTTAGTAGAGAAGATGTGATTTTTTTTAATTGCAGGCATTTCATGTATTGATTATTTTCATTCAGTAGTTATGTACTGAGCACATTTTCTTTCCATTCAAACTTTCATCCATCAACTTAGATTTATTCAGGTTCGTTTCCTGTTGATTAATGTTAAGTTGATAACTGAAGCAATTTAAACATAGGTGCTTTTAATTTCATTTCCAAAAAGTAAAACTGAAATTGCTTTGATTTATTCTTGTCTGTTTAAATCAGTGCAGTCATTTCTGATTTTGTTCAGTTAGAGGTGTACAAGGCAGACTTTGATATAGAGTGAATAGGACATTCTTGTTTCTCTATTGGCCTTCTTTATTGTATTTGAATGGAACCAAGTTATAGGTTCTGGGATCCATGATGAGGTCAGGATATAGCAGGGAAAACCTGGATGACTGTTTATCAAGATCTCTCAGGATGACATTGGCTTCTTGATTAATACAGTTAAGGGTATGATCTTAATATTATCAGTGTACCAGAGTTGATTAACACATTTTAGTTCACAAGAAAGCAAATAAACAAAATTGGACATTTGTTGGGAAGGTGAGGCAGATTCATTTTTGATAACCAAAATTGTACGTGCCAAGGTAACTGTTTTGGCAGGTCTGGAAAGCACATCAGGCAGTTGCTTAGTAAATGAGGAATCAAAACAAAATGAGCTTCGTCATTTTGAGAGAGATTTCAATCAGATTGTGAGGAGACCTGATAAATGATCCCTGCCCCAAACAGTACACCTCTTCAATGACAGGAAGATTCATAACCCCTGGATTTTGTGTGTCTCTTCCTGGACAGAGCTGGGTAAAGATCAATTCTCTTTCTACAGGCTGATCTTCACACAAACTCTAAACAGCGTAGTATACGATTGATTAGATTTCTGCTGACTGAATTACAACCACCTCCAGTTTTGCCTCCTGAGATCTCCCCCATATCTTAATTAATGGTTTAGGATGTTTTTAAGCTCATGAGCTACACAGTCACAGGCAGTATTATGAATTGCTCCCACAATTCGCTAATTTATTGAGTATGGATTTTACCAGTTTAATTCTAGAAGCTGCTTTTTTTCAGCACTGTTGATGTTTATGAGAAGTTACTTTCTCAAAAAGAAACTTTTAAAAAATTTTTGATTCAGTTCAATGAGTATATACTAGTGTCAGCACTATACTTTTCCCTGGAAATAATTACTTAAGGGGAAAAAAAGATACTGAAAAGTTAATTACTGTTAGGGTTGAAATTAGAAAACAGTTTTTCAGTGATTTGCTGAACACTTAAAAGTCTACCTGTGATGACAGTTTTATAACTCTAAATACTACTAAAAACTATTGAATTGTATACAGTTAACACTGAGTGAGTTGTATAGTATGTAAATGACAACTCAATAAAACTTTTTAAAAATGGGGAAAAAATATCTCCACAATCAGAAAAATCACTCTAGTACCATTCCTCTAAAGACATTACTGGTGGGTGGGGGTGTAGTAATTCCCACTGAAATATGGCTTCCCTAATCTGGAAAGACTTTTTAATACTTGTGTGTTAATGCCTACTGTCTTCCCTGGGGGTAACTTATTTTTACTAGGTAAAGGGACACAAAGATTAGGGATATTTGATGGTACTGTGTACAGGAGTTACACATGAACAGTCCACTTGCATAATTATCTCATTGTTCCTCTTGTTTTTGTTGTAGAATATTCTCTGGAAAAGGAAGAAATAGTATATATCTTTTCATTTAATATATGTATATTTGTCTTCTCTTCCCTAGTAAACTATACTGAGGGAAGGTTTCTGCTGTAACTCCCTTAATTACCAGTAAATTCTCTGTTCAAACAAATATTATTGACAATTTACTGACTGCTCTTTGAAAAAGGTGGGATGTTGGATGAGCAGAATGTTGTTTCTATGGAAACTTCATCATGCTGCTGTCAGTGGATAGACACAATGGGTACAAGGATTGTTTTTCATTTCACAGTATAATCAGTATGGCCACTTCAAGCCCAAAGATGTCATCTAATAATATATTCTTGGTAATTTTATTTTAGGACTGACCTCCCTCCCTCTTTCATTCTTCTTGTTTTGTCTTTGTCTAATTTTGCCATCTTTATTATTCTATTATTGATGATAATAAGATATTATTTTGCCAGAAAATCCCTTAAAATCTATTACAGTACAAAGATATTTTCACCATGTTCTCTTCTTACTAATTATTATTTCCCCTCTTCCTCTTCTTGTTCAGTTCTCTTAAAAATTAAAACTCCACTTCATACTGTACATTTCCTAATGGGGCAAGTAATGGCTGTTTAAGGAATTATATTAAAAATATAGCAGATATGCTTTATTTGCTAAAACTACATTTTTTGCAATTTAATCTTATAGTCTGAGTCCTACATAAATGTTAACTACTATTGTTAGTAGTTAGAGGTCAATACTACTGCAAAGTGTGTTAGAAATAATTTCAATAAAAGTTTTCAATTTGAAATTTTGAGATTTTTTTTCTCTTTATTGTTTTAGAAGATACACCCAGATTAGCTGAAAACTATCAGAATTACTTTTCTAAATTTGCTTTCAGAGTTGAGTAGTTGTGCACAAGCCTAAAATATGGGGTGGGCAAAAGTAGGTTTACAATTCGTATGGAAAATAATACAATAATTGATAATACAAGAATAAACTATTTTGCATACTCAAACTGTACACCTGCTTTTGCCCCACCCTATATTTACTATCTGGCACTTGAAGAAAAAGTTTGCCAGCGTGAGTGGAAAATAACCTGCTTTTGTAATTTTTTGCTAAAACTTAAAAGTTTTCTCATATTCTCTCAAAGGTGTTTTTGTCATGGGTAAGATCTCCCATCATTAATAGTTGTAATGTAAACATAAGTTATACACTTTTTAAAGTGATTTGTTGCTTCCACATGCTTCATCAGCCATTACTATAGTTTAGTACAGATAAGTTACCAAAGTCTAGTTGCCTTGAAATGCTCAGCAAAAGAGCAGGTTGCTGTAACTGTTCTTGCATTGAAGATTTGTTGCATGCAAATACTCTATAACAAATTTTGACCTAAGTAAATATCTATTAATGTCTACTCACTGTGGAATTTGCAGACTGTGTTCTACATTTCTGGGATCCCGCCAAGTTTTCAGACTGGTGTTGGTACCACCATGCTGGTCCCAGAGGGCTACTAGATGTGGAAACCAGTGTAGTCTATAGTCTAGACCCATGTCCATGGGGTCCTTCCTTGTCTGGCTACAATTTCTTCTAAGTTAATATCTACTCTTTGTAGAATCCAGGCTCCAGGGGAGAAAAAATTCTTTCCCTTGGTTCATTGGGATTTATCTTCATATAAAATGATTTAGAATGAGAATGTTTGCCTTTATAGGAATTTCCTTGCTTTTATGCAGGAATATAACCTCTCCCTCTCGTTCAGGTGAAAATGGGCCATTATCGATATATTTTCCAAAGTTTGGTTTGTTCACTATTAACATCACATGTAGGACATTCTCAGTACATAGACAAGGCTGAATCTTGCCAGCCAAACATGGTCCATTACATTTTTCCTTTTCCAGTTCCAAGCCCTCTAGTAAGTGATGAAAAACAAGTCTGAATGTCCTTTATGTGGTCTTCTGGATCTCATTTTCTGATACAGTGCAAACCACCGCTTAAACAAGAACACACATGTTCTGCCTCAGCTGGGTAGCTCAGTTGGTTAAATACACTAAGGTTGTGGGTTAGATCCCCAGTCAGAGCACACACAAGAATCAACTGGTGAATGTATAAATAAGTGGAACAACAAAATCGATGTTTCTCTCTCTCTCTAATTAATAACTAAAAACTTTAAGAAATTTATTTAAAAAAGAACACACATTCCCACAAAACATACCAACATCTGTACAGAGAAGAAATATTTCTATCTATATATTCATAATCCCCCACAATTTTGCAGTGGCGCAGTGTGTCTTTGCCCAAAACAGTATATGCCCAAGTAATACATTCAGCTTCTCAGTCTAAAATATCTGCATTCAGGAAAAAAATATTTTTAAATAATTTTCCCAA